CCCGGGCAGCGCCCGCAGCCCCGGCCCGCGCTGCCCGCGGCGCTCCTGTCAGGGGTCGGCACCTGCCCGCGAGGAAGGAAAATCGATTCGACCAACTTCAAGCAAGCGCTTGAAAGAGCCCGGTGCAGACTGAGCATCCATCACTGCCTGAGCACCAGCGCGGGCTTCAATGTTTGCTGCTGCTTGTGCTCCTCATCGGAGCACGTTCCCCGGTGGATGGCTCAGAATTGCCACAACTTCCTAGAACCTTTCTTAGAACTTGCTATTACAGGACGTTCTGTGCGTAGAAACTGTACTTTGGTTATTAGCTATCACCTCTGGTTTTAAAAATCATCTTTTGAATTAATGTGAAATTTGTCTTTATGACATATATTTAATTTGCTGGGAATCTTGCAAAGAAATAATCAAATTTGAAACTCTGCAATATAAAAATGTTCACTTTTTAGCTACTTTTTATCAACAGTTTAGCAAAACAAACTCTTATTTCACTATCATTGCATATCATGGCCATCCTTAGAAAGCCGTACCATATAGAAGTCATGTATTTGTAGTTTTTCGAGCGGTTTTAAAGATCTTAGGGTTTTGAAGAAATGGGGGAATCCAAAATGAGAACACTTAGATTAATCAAAGGGCAAATAAAAAGGTTTAAAGATACTGCATTAAAACAAACTCTGGTTTTGTTCAAGTTAAAATGTGGACCAGTAGTGGCTATTCTAATAAAAAATTGCTTCCATCATGAAAGTGAATGTCTGCTATGTCAGAAAAAAACCCATCAAAATATATTACAGCCATAATTCTGTAGTTCTTAGGCTTTCTAAGTTTCTTGTACCTTTACTGTATGGCCTGGGATTCCTGCAGGGAAGGTTACTGCCCCTTAGTTACCGCTGCGTTATCATTATTTTCCAGTTGAACTGAAAAGCTTACTCCTTTCTGTATCTGAAGAGAGAGACACAAAATCAGGGACTGCGGTGGTTCTTCCAGTGCACTAGTTTTACTGTTAAGAATCTGGTTTAATTAAACCAGAATGTGATAATTCTATTCAGTTTTTGACAGATCTACCAATACACCCATTAAATTTTCTTCCAACTCACATACGATTCACAGTCCTTCATTTCCAAGGTGCTTTTCCAGCTCACAGATGCCCGGAGCTGCTCAAGGGCAGGGAGCAGGGAGTGGGTTGCCCCGAGTGTTTGCCAAGATATCGGGGGGCTGTTTTCTGTGCAGATCAGTGTCTCACATTGCTGTCAGACTGCTGACAGAGCCGGGAAGGTGATTCCCGGCCTACATTACTGCTTGAGTATTCTCATTTTAAAATGAACATCTTCAGATCCTTTGCTTTTGTAGGATACAGGTTTCTAACTTGCTGTTATGCCCCAGAGCACCCAGGTTCTTGGAAATACAAGATTTCCCGAGGATTAAGTTCTTTATTTAGGGCCGTATTATAGATATAATCCGTAACCAATTTTAAACTCCTTAGGTATACTTAAGATCCATCGATTTTAGGTTTAGGGCACTTCAATGACTAAAAATTCTACCAAATGAAGGAGACTAAGTAGAGACTTCTCTTGTAATGTGTTCTTTAGTCATTCATGTTCTCTTAAAGATGATCGCCTTGTACATAAAAATATCTGAAAGATCAATTAGAACCAAACCCTGTTTCTTTGAGGGTCCTCTTTCCTGAATAAGAAACAACATATTATTACACAGATCAGCCTTCTGATTAAGTGCTGAGTGCTTCTTTTGTCTTTTTAAAGCCCTCTAAATGGCCCGTTCCTGGAAACTTTTGTATATGGGTCATTCCAAATTGTGTATGACACAGCTGCCTCATTTCTTGAGTCTGTTGCAGTTTTGTCCATTGGGAACAATAAAGTTGTGCCAATTTGACAGGTGTCAGGGAGCTCTTACTTGGATGTGCCAAGTGCCTGCAGGGTGTCCCGGTTGTTAGGATAACGTTCGGTGTTTGCCATTTGGGAAGGATTGGAAAAGAAAAATGGGATTAGCCTTGTGTGGGCATCCTGCTCGGACCAAATGGTGATGCCTGTTCCCTGGACTTGTAATACTATGAAGTGGAGTTCATTGCTTTTGTTAAAGGCTTTAGGCTGCATGATGTGATTTTCAAAACATTTAATAGTTGTTCCATTTGCTTTTTGTACTGAGAATCCAAGAGATCAGCTTATATTTAAATCCATGATTGGAGAATAACAGATTCTACTAATAGTAGGATACTAATAGCCGTTTATTTCTGGCTGTGAAAGTGTCTCCACCAGAGTAATTCAGTCAGCAAGGAGTGGTCTGATGTTAGATTTGGCTTTGAGAACTAGTGAAAATACTGTAGAACAGCTGGTCATAGAAGTTAATTTTGAGTCAGTGGTCAGAAGCTCAAGGTAAGCAAGATAGGTAAGAACATGCCAATCTTAAAAAGGCAAACTGAGAAATCAAACTGGTTAGCTTTTCAGACAGTTGCTGAATTCATTTGCCACAAGAGGTTTTGAAACAAAAATTAATTTTTTTTAAAGTGTCTGTGGAGGAATAGCAGGAAGAAGAAGAAGTGGACAGATTCAGAGAAGAAATGTTTTAAAGAAAAAATACCACCCAGACACAAAAGTGTTTATACAAGATCTGTCTCAGGAAGTCCCTAAACCACAGCTCGCTGCTGACAGGAAGCTACATCTGGAAAACAACTATTGTACCTTTGCCTTTTTCCTATTTTTTTTTTAAGCATTCTCTGCCTTCTGACACTGGATAACATACATTTTAAAATGTTGAAATCAATCACTACAATATTTAATCTTCTATGATATATTTTTCCTGATTTATGGGAAAAGCATTAGGAAACAAGTTGGGTTTTGTGGAAAAATGAAAAAAAAAGCCCAAACAAACTGGCAGTACTCTTGAGAAAATCGATCTATTGAGAGGGAAAGCTTGTGAGGAAGCTCCAGACAGCTTCAGAAATTTTTAAGCTGTTTCAGTTGTAAGAGAATGATTTGCACCAGTCTGAGGTGAATTTGGGCATAAATTCCTGAACATAATTCCAGCTGATTTACTGGTAACTTTTTCTTTCATACACTGATACCTTATTTTGAGAGTTGCTTGGTTTATGCCACACTTCTTTGTTTGGTTTTCTGCATTGGGCTTCATTGCTACCATGACAAATCTAGAATGATTAATTTCAGTGATGCATTAGGGTGAGGTTACTCAGAAGACACCAAGGGATTGTTTCCTTCTTTTGGTTTTGGTAAAGTTAAGTAGGAAGCAAAAATATAATTTTATTTCTTTCATTAAACATAGATGAGAGGAATGGCTGAAGGTGAGTTAGTTGAGCTAAGCAGGTTTCTTTGGTGTTCCAGGTGATGGTGACTTTCTGAGAAGTCTCAGATGTTTACAGACACTCCTGAGTGGCCTTTTGGATTAGCAGCCCTGCTTCTAAAAGGTTTTCTTTTGAGGTCACCAGTGTGCTTGAGTGAGGAAGAGCAAAACTTTATATAGATCAGTGGCAGTCTTTGCATGAGATGCAACATGGTGGTAGGCTGCTCAGCTGAGGATTTGGTGTATCAAAATGTAAGAAAGAATGTCTCTTAGGAATCTTTTATTTACTCTGAAGCAATTTAAATCAATCATCTGTCAAACTGAAATGTGCTTCAGGCTCAAATATCAGCTGGCTGTATGAATATTTCCTCACTTCTTACAGCTCCCATTAACAGGACTAACTGGCACTAAGCCAGGTCTGGATATGTAGTACACTTTGTGTGGCCCTAGTAAGACCAGAAACAATTTGATGAACCACCCAAGGGAGTAGCTTGAGGAAGCTGTCTTGGAAAAATGTATTATTGTCGATTTGATGCATCATTTTTGTTTATGTAAGTCTCTGTTAAATGTTGGTGTTCACTGATATTGATTGCAGCTTTTCTGTAACAAAACACATGCACTCTGTTAGAAGATTCACATTTCTTATTCCTTGTCTCCAAAAATTTGATTTGGATTTTGACTAACCTAGACCTCCAGACCAAAAGGGGTAGGCTAGTATTTAATTTCTTACTTAGATTATTTAGTGCTGTACCTGTAAATTTTGTGAAGAGAATTTTGATTCCTTCTAGATACATGCATCAAAAGTAAAATTAATTTCATTGTGTTAGGAAAGAATATATTCTTGGCCTGTGCAGCTGTCTTGTTTGCATATGCTAAAATGATTCCCCATAGCATATGTGTTTTACCTAAATACATGTTTTACAAATAGCATTTTTCACCTTCATAGTACTGTAAAAAGTAGATTATTTAGTAAGGGCATGACCTGCTGAAATATCTGTCACAACCAGTATTCTCTCTCCGGTGTCTGTCGGCGTGCATATAGTACAGTACGGAGGCCAGTTCCATGGCCACATCATCAGGTTACAGAGGATGGGAAAAAAATCACACAGAAAAGGGGCCTCTGCAGGTCATCTGGCTCAACCTCCTGCTCAGTGCAGGCCTAACTCAAGAACTGGATTAGGTTACTCAAGACCTTGTCCAGCTGAGTTTTGTAAACCTCCAGAGATGGTGATTTGCAGCCTTTCTGGGCAATGGTGTAGTGCTCGACTCCTCTTAAAGTGATTTTTTGGGGGTGTTGTTTTGTTTTGTTTTTTCTTTTCCCTATTCTGGTTGGAATTTCTGTTGCTGCTGCTTGTGTCAGTTGCTTCTTGTCCTGTCACAGTTGGTCTCTGAGGAAGAAAGGGGCACAGGCTCCTTTGTGTTAGGGCAGCGCCCGCAGCCGGGCTCTGCGCCTCTGGCCCCTTCTCTCCTCCAGGCAGCGCCGGTTCTTGGGCCTGTCCTGCTCTCTCAGAGCTGCTGCTCCCGGCCCGTGCTGGCCCGTGCCCGCCACCGGGCCGCAGAGGACGGCGCAGCAGTGTTGCAGGTGCGGTCTCACCACCCGAGTAGATAGAGGAAACATCTTTAAAACCTTTTTGCAAT